TGTAAGAGTCTGTTTAATAACCAATTGGAATTTGCAGCTGAGTATGTCTTCTTTTGTATTCAGCAGTAATATATCTCTGCAGTGTGAGGCTCAGGGAAGATTCTAGTCACAAACATGAGATCCTGAGAGCTGAAAAAGGAGACTGAGGAAACACTTGAGCTGACAACTATAATGATGAGGGTTATGTTGTGCTCCAATTTGGCCTCAGCAAATTAAGATGTGATCCTTTTCCTAAAACTCCCTCACTGCAGTTTGAACTATATTTAGGTCAGCTAGAAGGCCTGCTCTTTCCATCTTCTGAAGTGAAAGGTTTATTATTCTTGGAATAAATCATGTCTTTTTATAAGGCAAAAGGATTATGAAACCCTTAGACCCTGGCCAAGCAATTGACTATGCATGGCCACATCTGAAAACCTGCATGGCACCCCAGTGAGTTCAATAAGGTTCTAAGCAGGTGAAGAAGTCATTTGCCAGAGTGATGATTTAGTCTGGAAGCCTGCCACCGAAATTACCTGTATAGCTGCAAACCAGTTGTAAATATGAATAAAATGTATATGTAAAAAAAATGGATGCTTGTATGAGCTGTAAAAGCATTTATTGTTCTCTTTTCAATTAGTAGATGTACTATGCTTTATCACAAATTATAACCTGTGATCTATATAAATAGATAGCACAGAAATATTTACCTTTAAAAAAGTACTTGAAAATAGGACATGAGAATTAAAGTCAAGGAATTCTGGATGGGAGTAGTTTAGGTAACCATTAAGTTGTACAATTTTCATTAGTACACAGAAATACAATAGAACTGAAGACACAATATTTCTATACAAAAGCCACAGCATCTAATTAGCACTTAAGGGCTTCATCTCCATAAAAGTTTATACCAGTCTCTAGGTTCAGTGATTAAAACATGACCTCCCTTGCCCTATTGCAGATACTAAGTATACAGCTGCGATTACCACTTCATTATTTTTTATCATTTACTTGCATTTTCTTATACCATTTACTCTGGCTACTACAACTTTTAGAGAAATGTTGTCTAAAGATCATTACCAGTCTTGCCAGCTGACTCAAAAATCACTCTCTCAGTACATAGAAGCTAAAATGTTACCTTAGGGCATGTGTAGACAAAACAAGGAGCATGTGTACACACCACATTAAAGTGGGTTAAATGCTTTTGTACTGCTTTAATGGGTGTTAGTGTTTGCACACATCAGGGCATACTACACATTAATTCCAACTGCCGTAGCACATTCAGCAGCATAATGTGCCTTAAAATAATTTTGGGGCACAGCAAACTAAAACACCTCTGAGGAGCATTACTTTACTGCCCTACAGCCACGAAGCAAAGTACCAGGCTTCATGCAGCTCAGGGGCTGTGCAAGCATCCTGGCAGCACCCCAGGAAAGCAGGCTTCACCAAGGGGGGAAAAAAAAGCGGTGAGCCTGATCTCCACTTCCCCGCCCTCCCC